GCGAGCGCCGCGGCCGTCTCCCGGGCAGCGTCGAAGGCGCACGTGTCGAAGACGAGGTGCGCAGCGCCGAGCTCCCGCAAGGTCCGCGCCGCCCCTTAGCGCCCGAAAAGCCGCGACCGCGCGGGCTTCTCGAGCAGCACGAGCACCCCCAAGGCGGTGGGACAGCTCCAGGATGCGCAACGTGGAGTGGACGCACCTCGACGAAGGTGGAGAATCCAGACCCGCAGAAGGAGCCAGAGTCCAGGATAACTCACGCGGCTCCTGCCCGAATCCATCGACCAACCTCTGTAGCAACTCTGCGATGACGCACATCATGATGACGACCATGAGCGGTGCCGATGGGTAGTTGCGCCCAATGGAAGTCCAAACTCAGCAGCGGCGGCCGTCGCCCGGCCGCATCCCGAGAACGCCGCCAGGAAGGCGGGCCGCGCCCGGTGGACATCGGGCAACGGGCGGGCCGCGGGCGGCAGCTGTCCGCCCCGCGCCTGTCGCGGAGCTGGGACGCAGCGCTCTCCCCCAGGCTCGGCAGGGCAGCACTGGCGGGTCCGAGGGCCGCCTGACCACTTGAAAGCTCTGGGCGAAAATCGCAGCGAGGTGTGGCCAGGTAAGGGTCGCGCTCGCGCCCCTCCCCCTACCCTGGGTCGCCCTCGCGTGGCTCGCCCACCGCGCTGTCGCAGCGCCCCCGGTCATCCGCGTCTTCGCGCGCCCACCCTGGCTCGACGGCGGCGCTGAGCATGGGCCAGCGCAAGGCCGCGTCGCGCGCCCTCTGGCATGAAAGAAACCGCCAGTTGTGGGCAAGCCGCGAGCCCCAGTCAGACGGGCCCCGCTCGGTCTCGACGAAGCGCCTGTGCCAGTGGAGCCCCGCCGACAGCTGAGCCGCAGCCGAGTGGCGCGCGAGCCCGAGCTGCTTGACGCCCCGGGCGCACCCTCGGTCGAAGGCAAGCGTCTCCGAGAGGTTGCCCCCGAAGCTGAGGTGGTCGTGGCCGCCGCAGCTCGGGAGCTCCAGCTCGCGATGCAGACCAAGAAGGCCTGCCCGAGCCTCCTCGCGGTGGATTGTGGCCCCGCGCTGCCAGCGCCCCGCCGGGGGCCGTCGCCGGCGCCGCGGCTGCACGAGCGAGCTGTCGACCATCGGCGCAAGCCCGGTGACCTCGCTCTGGGCCCTCGGCATTTCCTGCTGCGGTTGGTCGCCGGGCTGGAGGCCCCCGCCGCAGTCGTCGATGTCCCGTCGCAGCGCCGCGCCCAGCTCGTACAAGGCGCCACCGAGTCCAGGCGCCTGGCCAACATCACCTCCAGCCCTTGGGGGTCGGGGGCCTTTAGGTGGCAGCGCGCGCCGCGCCAGCGCCTCCACCCCCGCGAGCTGGAACGCGTCCAGCAGACCAGGTGGTGCAGCACCGACACAAGGGAGGCATGATGGTAAGCGACGGCGCTGTCATTGGCCTCGCCTGACCCTCGTGGTACGCCGCGACGTCCTCACCGCTGGCCTGGATGTTCGTCAAGAGCTCCAGGGCTGCTGCGGGCCCGCAGAAGGGCCAATCGCCGGCGCCGCTGCCTGCAGCTGGCGAACCAGCGGCCCACGCGGCAGGAAGCCGACGCTCACCTCGGCCAGCGCCTCGCGGAACCTAAGGAAGCGCTGGCTGCGCGAGCCGCACTGCATCTCCAGCGCGCGGGGGTCGCGGCCAGCCCCCGAACGATTCTCCTCCAGCCATGCGTTGAGGCCGGCCGCCAACACCCGCCCCACAGCCGTCCAGCGGTCGTCGCCGATGAACGCCAGGCCGACCGACCCGTTCTGTACGAATTTTGGTCGGGTTCAGCGCGACCGCGTTCGCCGCCGCCTGGCCGAATGACCCACTGGGCCTGCGCGCTGCCCGGGGCCTGAGCCAACCCGCCAAAGAGGCTTGCGAGGGCCGTCGCTTGGAGCTGTAGCTCCGTCACCTCGCCCTCGCTCCAAGGTCGAATACCAACGCGTTCCTTCGGACCCTCTCCGGCACGGGGCACGCGCGGTCGAACGGCACCACCAGGTGGGCGGCGAGGTCGATGACCTGCACCGCGCGGGTCGGAGTCGCGGTCGCTCACTTCGCGCCGTCGGCCAGCTTCGCCGGGAGAACGCGGCGATGCCAACGACACTTGGGGTCGTCGTCGTACACGTCGGACGGAAGAAGTAGGTGAAAACATGAAGTAGGAAGGCGGACACAGTGGATTGGGTCCAGGTCCTCCCAGAGAATAAGCAAACACAGCAAAAGCATGCCGATCCTTGAAGTAGGAAGGCGCTTGAAATAGATTGGGATCTGGGAATCCAGAAATACCTACTTTCAACGACCGGTACGTAATTCACCGCGGCCTGCGGCGCCCCGATCTGCAGGGCCACCTGCCGGGCGGCCGCCATATCACGACCTGCGGCTCCGCGGCCGCCAGAGCCAGGCACCCGGCGTCATGCTTTTGGCTTACAACGTCGACCCCCAGGAGGTCTGGACTGGACCCCTTTTCCCTGGGGCCGCTGTTCAATCCTGAATCTTTCTTGGTCGGTCCCGAAGCCCGGCGAGGGCCCCTGGAGGCCGAAAACTGCGGAAACCCTCCGTCCTGATTTTTGTCCATATGCGCTGGATCTCTGGGTCCGGTCGGCCAGTCGGCCAGTCGGCCAGTCGGGGAACCGGGGAGGCGGACAGTCGGGGAGTCGGCCAGTCGGGGAGTCGGGGAGTCGGCCGCCAGATGCCACCCTCCGTCGGCGCGGTCGCGGCCGCGCCAAATGCCACCCTCCGCCAGCGCGGTCGCCCCCGAGGGCTGCGAGAGACCCAGCGCCAGCAGAGCCAGAAGACCGCCAGGGGCAGACCGGAGCCGGCAAACTGGAGGCCTCCTGCCGCTGACCTTCCACGAGGGCTAACAAGTAGCACCAGGACCTCGGCGTCGCAACTCCCGCCGAGGTTCTAAGCAATCCAAATAAGTCGATGAGTCGGAAGGGCCAGTTGTGTAGCACTCTGGAAGGTCAGGGCAGGTGTGGTCAGAGGATCGCATCGACGAGGCGTCGGCGAGGCATCGGCGATGCACCGGCAACGTCGATGATGCACCAGCGACGTGGGCGTGGAGGAGCTCGGGCCCCACATCGAGCCGCATCGCCGATGCATCGGCGATGCGGCGAGATCCTCCGACCCCATCTATCGGGCGTTAGCAGAACTGGGTTTAATGGAACCTGGTTTAGTGATCTGTACCGGGGGCGCCCCCCCGTCCCATTTCCACTAATCGGAACTGCCGCCACCCGAAAAAACACCAGCTATGGCAAACCTGGATTAGTGATTCTGGCCAATTCAAAGGCTCTGGGGCCCTACCACTAACCGGGTCCCCTTACCTGGGGTCCTGGCCATACCCGAATCTGCTCCGACCCCATCTGGTAGGCCTAGACAAACGCGGGCAGCCAGGAGGCCGCGCGCGCCGAGGATAAGAGGACGCCGAGACCCACCCTCCCTCGGACCCCCAGCGTCGTGCCTTCTGCCACCACGTCGACTCCCAGAGGTTTGGGGATCCCTTCCCCGGGACCGGCTTCTCATCCTGCATCGTTTTGTTGACGGCCCCGAGGCCCAGTGAGGGCCCCCGGGAGCCGAAAAGAACTATAGCGAAATACCTCCGGCCGTGATTTTTTCACAGCGCGAGGAGGTCTGGGCTCCCGCGCAGCTAGAAGAAAACGGGCCGGCGGGGCATGCGCCAGCGCCACGGAACAGCGCCAGGAGGACCAGCGCAAGCGCACCCCGGGCAGCCTGGGCACACGCAGGGGAGGCACGCCGCCGCCCCAGAGCACCTCGCGCTGTGAAAAAATCACGACAAGAGGTTTTTCGTTATTCTTGGCATCCTCTTCCTCCTCCTCCTCCTCGTCCTCCTCCTCCTCTCCTCCTCCTCCTTGTCTCCTCGATCCCCCACCTGCGCCTCCTCCTCCTCCTCCTCCTCCTCCTCCTCCTCCTCCTCCTCCTCCTCCTCCTCCTCCTCCTCCTCCTACTCCTCGCCTCAAATGTGCAAGAGCCAGAGCACGCGTGCCACCTGCTGTTTTCGGCCTCAGGGGGGCCCTTCCCAAGCCTCGGGACCGTCAAAAAACGACCCAGGACGAAAAGCGGGTCCGGGGCGGGTCGGTCGCCAGCCGCGCCGGCACCAGGGACCCCCGCCAGGGTCCCGCGAGCGCGCTCAGGTAAGCCGCGAGCGCGGTGAGGGGGCCGGAGCGGAGCACAGACACACAGACACACAGACACACAGACACACAGACACACAGACACACACGCACACACACACACACTAACACTAACACACACACACACACACACGCACACACGCACACACACACACACACGCACACACTAACACACAGACACACAGACACACAGACACACAGACACACACAGACACACACGCACACACACACACTAACACACACACACCCACACACACACACACACACGCACACACACACACACACACACACGCACGCACGCACGCACACACGCACACACACACACACACATCACACACACACACACACACACACACACACACACACACACACACACACACACACACACACACACACACACACACACACACACACACACACACACACACACACACACACACACACACACACACACACACGC